CAACTGAGCTACGCGGTCAGGACGGTTCGAGTAAGTGATATTTCGGAACAGAATCTAGTTCCTTCGATACCAATGTAATCTAGTTATATGATTTTTTCTGTGTTGGTGTTGTGTACTCAGGTGAATATGATATTTGTGATGTTACTCTGAGTCCATGTTGCCTGAGTAATTATTAGCTGAATTTATATTTCCGTGGAACAGTAGAACTGTGACTCTGTGAGTTGAACCACTCACTTGAACGCATATTTTTAATTTTTCCATCTGCCGCCCAGGTTGAAGATCTTGGCAAGATCTTGTAAGATCTTGCATGATCTTGGAAGATCATGGCAAGGTCTTGGCAAGACACTAATCTTGGCAAGATCTTGCCAAGATATTACCAATATCTTGCCAAGATTATTCAATCTTGCCATACTTGCCAAAATCTTGCCAAGATTGTCTGAAATTCTTGTCAAGATCTTGCCAAGATCTTTCATGATTTTTCGTCATACATAATTCTTGCTGAGTTGTATTTTTCGACCTTCATAAGTATAGGTATAATGAACCTTGATCAAACCAATCACATATATCACAACATTGCCAATACTCTATCATGATCTTGCCATGATCTTGGAAGATCTTGTCAAGATCGCACCATGATCTTGCCAAGATCCCACCATGGTCCTTGCCAAGATCTTATCACAATCTTGCCAAGATTCTATCATAATCTTGCCATGATCTTGCACAATCTTGCCAAGATTCCACCATGATCTTGCCAAGATCTTGTCAAAATCTTGTCAATATCCTATCATGATCTTGCCATGATCTTGGAAGATCTTGTCAAGATCCCGCGATGATCTTGCCAAGATCCCACCATGGTCCTTGCTAAGATCGTATCACAATCTTGCCAAGATTCTATCATAATCTTGCCATGATCTTGCACAATCTTGCCAAGATTCCAGCATGATCTTACCAAGATCATATCAAAATCTTGCCAAGATCCTATTGTAATCTTGCCATGATCTTGGAGGATCTTGCCAAGATTCCACCATGATCTTACCAAGATCCCACCATGATTCCTTCTAAATCTTATCACAATCTTGCCAAGATTCTATCATAATCTTGCCATGATCTTGGACAATCTTGCCAAGATTCCACCATGATCTTGCCAAGATCTTATCAAAATCTTGCCAAGATCCTACCATAATCTTGCCATGGTCTTGAAAATCTTGACAAGATCTCACACCATGATCTTGCCAAGATCTCAGCATGATCTTGCCAATATCTTACCAAAATCTTGCCAAGATCCTATTGTAATCTTGCCATGATCTTGGAGGATCTTGTCAAGATCCCTTCATGATCCTTGCTAAGATCTTATCACAATCTTGCCAAGATTCTATTATAATCTTGCCATGGTCTTGGAAGATCTTGACAAGATCTCACCATGATCTTGCCAAGATCTCAGCATGATCTTGCCAATATCTTACCAAAATCTTGCCAAGATCCTAATGTAATCTTGCCATGATCTTGGAGGATCTTTTCAAGATCCCATCATGATCCTTGCTAAGATCTTATCACAATCTTGCCAAGATTCTACTATAATATTGCCATGGTCTTGGAAGATCTTGTCAAGATCTCACCATGATCCCAGCATGATCTTGCCAAGATCTTATCTATCTTGATCTTGGAAGTTCTTGACACAATCTCTTGTCATGATTTTACCATGATCATACCAAAAATGCCATGATTTTGAAAGATCCTTGTGAAAGGAGGCTTTTACGCGCACAGTTGCTCTCGCACCTTTGCGTGCCAGATCCAAATGACTGAAATGAGATCAATTAATCAATATCTGTAAATCTTGTTATCTGCGCATTTTTCGCATATTTGTGGTAGACAACCGTTTGTAAAAGCCCCAAGGCGCGTTTTATAAGTAAACATACAAGGTACACGGCAGTTTATACTTCTGTTTCTCGACTTTGTTGCTGCACTAAAGAAGAAAGGATAACTTGTCGAGCTGTCTTAAATAAAAAGTAAGTGCTTAAAACCTATTTTGTAACACATTATTTGTATATTGAATGAATGAGCGCTAAGCAATTTGATTACCACATGTAATAAATGTTTCAAGCTTTTTCAAATAACCTTACAAATGGCTAAGTTAATCGGCTAAAGCGATGTAATGCTTGCTGTAATTTCGACTTTAAATAATTTTAATAACACCTCTTCATTGGTTACAATAAGCTTTTACGTTGCTTTAAAAACGTGATAATGCCTAGTTTAACGTTTTGTTAAGAATGACAAAGCCGTTGAGAATACCCCTGGGACCAAAAATTATTATATTCACACAGTCTTATATTTATTACACAGCTTTTGCGCTACTGAAATGTCCTGATAACCGTAGTGATGACAGGTCCGGTGCGCAAACATCGTAAATGCACCGCATAGGAACACGCAATTTCACACTACGGTATAAATGTGAGTTTCATTAGTGAGTTAAGTACTTAAGTTTCATTATGCCAACCAGTGAAGCTAGGATAAAATATAGAGATCTTTCATATAAAATTAATGGTTTGAGCTATGATTATTCGACATGTGTATTATTCAAAATTTGTTATTTCAAATATTATTTAGGAAAACATGGTGAAGGCATCCCCAAATGATAAAGCTATGGCCAAAAAAGAAACTACAGAGATCGAGATAGTAAGTATGAGTGTATACATGTGTAATTTATCGTTTTTACTTAAAAATAATTCAACTACAGTGATTTAATATCAAGTATTGTTAATTCATTTTAGTGGCACAATGACATTAATTTGATGACCGTAAATGCACCACCAAAAGAGCGATCAAAATGTGCAATCAAATTATTGGACTTTCGGAAGAGCTCCAGGATAGAATACTATTCCAGTCGAAAAGATCTCCAAAACCAGCACTAGATCCCAACAGGGTCACTAAATTGTTTGGTAAGAATAATACACGGCAAAAAACGCCGAGACCGTTGCTCAACAGGACTGAACAATGTTTTGCTGCCCACGTTGTTCACACTTGTCAACAGTATTGAACAATGCTGTTGAGCATGAATCGGGTGTAACAATATTGTTCAATATTGTTGACAGCTATGAACAATGTGGGCAGCAAAACATTGTTCAATCCTGTTTTCATCAGTATTGCATCAACCTGAGCGTTTTTTGCCGTGTATATGTGATTTGACTTGAAGAAAAATTAACTGGCCAGCTGTGAACAGATATATACAAACTTTAGTCTAAGTTGCCACAGTATGTGTTAATTAAAAGTACTAGTTTTCTTTGCCAATGGCAATGTGTTTTGGGTAAACATTGAAATGAACTTAAATACAAAAAATAGACTTACTTTAACACAGTCTTTTTTTACGATATAGCTGTCCTCAACGCCAAGTATGGCGAAGAAGAAGTACAGAAAACAGTAAACACGCCAAATTATCGTGGATGCGTGCAATCAAAATTCAAAAGTGCCGCGATATGCGAAGAAAAACAAAATCGAAGAACTTGCAATAACAATGGTGTCAATGCTAATATAATTTCATGAAGTAAAGTATGAAACAACCTCCGAATAAAAGTTCCATCTTGAAACTCAATTCTTTAGAACAACATTATTAAGAACAGACAAGATTCCCTTTGTTTTCTCTCAAATATTGAGCAAGGTGGAACTTTCATTCGGACTTTATTTCAATCGCCATAGATATTGATAATATTTTACCAACATTATTGGCCTAATTTACTACATTTACTATGCAAACTAAACCGGGTAAAAGCTTGAGTATTATAATTTGGATGAACTAATCGATTACAATTTAATAAAGACCGACACTGAATTTATGGCAATATTGTACACTTTTACGTTAGTTTGATAAATTCAATCAAAGTTATATCCAGAGTATAGTATATTTCATGTAGAGCCTCTTCATTCTGTATTTAAGATATTGAAGGATCATTGCAAGATCTCGCAGGATTTTTGGTAAGATCCCGGAGGATCATGGCAAGATCTCGCAGGATTTTTGGCAAGATCATGGCAAGATCTTGCTGGATTTTGGTAAGATCTTGGAGGATCATGGCAAGATCTTGCATGATTTGTGGTAAGATCTTGGAGAATCATGGCAAGATCTTGCAGGATTTGTACCAAGATCATGCCAAGATGTTACAAAAATCCTGCAAGATCATGGAAAGATCTTGCATGATCTTGCAAGATCTTTCCATGATCTTGCAGGATCTTACCTAAGATCTTGCAGGATCTTGCAAGATCTTTCCATGTTCTTGCAGGATCTTACCTAAGATCTTGCAAGATCTTGCCATTATCATGGCAAGATCTTGCCATTATCATGGCAAGATCTTGCAGGATTTGTACCAAGATCATGCCAAGATCTTACATAAATCCTGCAAGATCATGGAAAGATCTTGCATGATCTTGCAAGATCTTTCCAAGTTCTTGCAGGATCTTACCTAAGATCTTGCAGGATCTTGCAAGATCTTGCCATTATCATGGCAAGATCTTGTCATGATCATGGCAAGATCTTACAAGATGTTTGGCAAGATCTTGCAAGATCCTGCAAGATCTTAGGTAAGATCCTGCAAGAACTTGGAAAGATCTTGCAAGATCATGCAAGATCTTTCCATGATCTTGCAGGATTTATGTAAGATCTTGGCATGATCTTGGTAAGATCTTGGGTAAGATCTTGTCAAGATCTTGCTGGGATCTTGGCAAGATTGTCAACCTGGGCGACTGTTTACAAATTATATACAATATGTTGAAGAGTAATACTTACTTTTTGTAAAGGGATTGACACTGTAGTTTGTATATAGTTTCTGATTTTGCTGTTCCTTCTTAATTGTTTCACAGAGAATGGCATTTTGGTGCACGAAGTTTACGGCAGGTTTTTCTTTCTTGGACGCCATATTGTTTTACCGGCGTTTCCATAGCAATCTAATGTGTTAACCGCTGGTTTGAGTATGTCGCGGATTCATGTACATTCGAAAACATTAGTGCCAGTCTCCCAACTACTCGCGGCGTTGTTAAACGTTCAAATAAATCTGCTCTATTTGTATCTTTATATCAGTTGAAAATAGCCGTTTTTATTTGCAAATCGTCCTGGATTTTAACGTTCCCTTGCTCTCTCTAATAAAGTGAAGGTATTATTATCTATTGATTTGTTTTAAAATGTCTCGTAGTGTGTTTATACTGTATGACAATACAATTAATATTTTTTCGCATCGTCGATCACAGACGATCAGAGTCGACTCAGAGTAAACCACAAATTTACTGTATATCCATACCAATCAGCCATGGTTAAGGCAATTGTTTTACTGATATTTAGATATGTAGTTAATAACTGATTTTAATAGTAGATTCTGCTTTTATGCACCCTGTCTTGATGTAGTTTGTTCCGATCAGTTTGATGTACCCCTATAAAACAAATCAAGTGTCTCTTGAAAGTGATATCTGGCTGCTTGCAGATTCACAGAATATTTTTATTTTTAGTTTTTAATCCCATTCTACGAATGACATGTATGGATCCAGAATATGAAAAACGTTTGTTACTACGACAACATGGTACAAGTCCACTGTCCTCACCCACATCTCCAGTAAGTTCATTAAATATGGGCTGGCAGGGCTGTTATGAAGACAAATGGAAACTAAAGCTTGTATTACTAGCTGCCATACTCCCTGGTAGAGATTGACTGATTGTGCAACAATTGGAAATTACCGATTATTCATGCCACAATCTGCCATGCTTGCAGATGCTTATACCGATTTTAAAATGACATAATATCAGTCGACCTAGTAAAGGTGACATTCATGTTGATTTTTTAATGATAATTTCCAATGTAACATGTTAGTGCAACCAAAGATTGTTAAAACCATCAATAAATAGCATTGAAATGCAACAGGTATCAACATATCATTTTTCAGGTGCACATTTTCTCAACAATCACTTTTAGACAATCAGAAATATAGATAATTCTACCATGCAATTCCAGTTGCCTACCGATAAGGCTAAAATTGGCTTGATGCTGATACCAATTATCAGTTAATCACTACTCCCTGGACCAGTCAATGTATTTTTGTCCTGGCTAGTTATTTTTTATGCCTTTCTTGGGTTAAAAGGAAAGCCTGCATGCAAGTCATATACAGCTTTGAATATCTGCATCCTAAATCATGATGCAAAATTCTTGTTGGTCCGTTATATTTATAGAAATAACACATCATTCCTATAATACTGAAATTGCATGCAACATGCTAATAGATAACCAGTCACTCTTATCACCAAAAAATCTCACCCAGTCTTGCAGGTGATCATCTTGTTCACAATATATATTGCAAGGCATTGTAAACATTTATACAAAATCAAAATCCATGGTTCAATGTAGAATGCATTCATTCGAACTTATCTTTGATCTTGGTCATGTGAGTTGTTCCATGTGCGAACATAGCAGCTTCATGAATCATGATTTTAATTGCCAACAAGACATTTCCTTACCATATTACCGATTTTTCGGTTACTGTATTGGAAATGAAAGCCGGTTTTATAATTAAAAAGAAAACCAAACAAAATCGAAAAATGGTTAACCGCCCAAGCCTAGGTGGAACATTCATTCTTGAAGCACACTTTAACAAGTGATCTTGTGCATTGAATTTCTATAATTCCAACTTGTGCATTGAATTTCTTTGATTAAATCAGTGTTTTAAGCTATTGTGCAGGCACTTATAATAAGAGTTTTTGTAACTTGTAATTTTAATTGAAGGCGTGTTCACCTTATCGATCACCACGAAAAGAAGTTTACAGTGACAGGTGAATCATTATACTTTATCATTATCAATATACAGTAGCTATACACATACTGTTTAAAGCACTAGCAGATAGAGTGGATCGATATCGCAAAATACTGATATACCACCATCAGAATACCGGCATTTTTAACTAGCAGATTTTGCAATTTTTTCCACTAGCAGTTAGTCCACATAAAATATATTCCTTGATTCTCATCACTACACTTTGACAATGTCGAAGAGGCAGGAGGTTTATGTCCTGAGTGTTTAATAAATGAGCAGTCCTGAGTGCATGTTTTATTAGTTTAGACCTAATAAAACATGACCTGCGAGTTAATTAAACATAATTATAATATTATATGTAGGCCAACTCCAAAAATCATGACTATGGAGGCAGTGGAGTTATGAACCTTGATTACCTCAATTATTTATATCAATAAAATATGCAGCCATACTGTATTACCATACTCTATGATATCCTACAGTAGACAAGATCCAATCAGGATCATAATTTCTTGACATCAGAATTCTATTTAGGATCCTGAGAAGATCCTAACAAAGGGCAATTGTAATTAAGATCTATGGGTTCTTATTGAAAAATGATGTTGAAGGTCCTGCTCATTAACTTCAAAATAAGGTCCTAGATTTTTTCCTAGGATTATGAAAAATCAAGGAAAATTAGTGACTCCCATAATAAATGTCAATTGGCAAATGCAAACAGTAATTATGTATTACATTGTACATTGTGTTATGTCTGTCTAGATTCATCCCAAGTCGAGCTGGCTCAAACTGGGAAGTAGGATTTAATTTACTACAGGTAAACTTTACATTCATAGTCATTTTTTGCCATGTTTTTCGCAGCCCATATGGTATTAGAAAAGCTGTTTGGTATAACGATATACAGTACTGAAACTACTTGTTTTAAACCGAAGTGTTTCAATTTTAATTAACAAAAAACCGAAAATCTCAATATACCAAATTGTTTTGAAATTTTCAATATGCCGATGTCATCAGCTACACCTGATAATTGTATTACAAGTCGTTCCTAATGGCCTGGAAGCCTGACGATTTCATAAACCAAGAGCAAATGTATGCCCTTTCATCTTGATTCATAAGAACAAGGCTACCAAGCCAAGGAAGTATTTGTGACGTAACTATCGAAAGGGTGTGTTTTGCTGTTAGTAATCTTTTGAAATTGTTGCAGGCAGTATTTTCCATTTTTCAAAGTTTAATATATTATTGTAAATCTCTTTCAAATTTAAAAAAAATCCCATCTAATTAGCAAACGGAATTAGAAACTTGGGGTGAGGGCTTCTGTTCTAAACTCTAGGAGGCTCTGGCGCCACTAAAATTTGATCATGTGCTCTGCTAAAAATGCATAATATTCTACACTTAGTCTAGTTTTATTAATAGCCTTACTTAGTGTAGTTGAGGTTCTTGGGTCATTCCAGAAAACAACATCCTCGCTAACAGTGGAAACAGGACTTAGTCTTGTCAATCTCCTTCCCCCTTCAACAAACGTCATAGTATATCAGAAGCAGGGTCTTAGCTAGAGGGCCGTGTTGGCCGTGTTATCGCGGCCAAAAATGGAACAACACGGCTAGATAAAATAAACGCGGCTTCATTATTTATATAAGGCCGTGTAGGTTCATAAAATAAAGTGTTACTGCTTACAACAGACAGAATTTCTTCCTATTTACGTCATAAGAGAGTTTGTAAAATCTACTGTAGTTGTTGAAATTGGCAAAACTGATCCGTGGTGTTTTAATGTTTTGATGGGTAATGGGAACCTTATATGGTTAAAATGGTTTTAAATACACCCCCAAGATTCTGGGCCCAAGAGTTGCTGAAATAACTTAATATTTTAATGTCAATGCGCAATATGAGTGTATGCTCGCCTTGTATTTGGTTGCAAAGCATAGAACAACCACACGCATTGTCTGTTGTTGGCGAGCATAACTAGAACCGTGAATTTGGCTATTTAAGGTAATTGACATGTGCACACCCTGGTCATTTCGAAACACGCCCAAAATCTAAAATCCTAGCTAAGACCCTGATCAGAAGTAGATTTTATCCTACCCCTCGCCAGGTAGCACCAATTTCCTCTGTTGGGAGAATATTGTCGATCTTTTCTGGAACAACCATTAATGTTTCTTAATTAGACCATTAATGTTTGAATGTGAATTTAATTTTAGTCAATGTTTCATACTGTAGATTAAAGTTAGATTTATGTTCACCTGATACATATGTATAACTACATGTTTTCAAATATTTTGTTTACAATAGGAAAATATTGATAGCAACAAGAGTAGTCCTGTGGCAAGGTTTGTCATCGGATGTATTAATATGTATATATTGTATATGCAATGAACATTTTTCATAACTAAGGATGACGTGGGCTCTGGCAACACGAAATGGCAGGATCATTGTTTTATAAAATTTTGCTACCCATACTATATTTTGACAAAGTCCATGTAAACATGCCCCAAGTCTGCTTTTTGTATATTTATTACAAATTTATTAAATGAGCTGTTTAATTTGGGAGTTATAAACTTACGGTGTAATAAAAGGTTTACTGCAGGCATGGGTGCTTGGTAGGAGGAGGAAGATTGGGGTCGTTTTCGTCTTGGGGCGAAAATTAACGGTTTACGAGGACGGATCAAAACGTCTGTCGTTTGTCCGCTATTTCTTATTGCAAAAATTACAGTCACATTCCTTCAACGTAGCTTCCTTCGACTTCTATATCGTTGCATTCTCATTCTCCATTTCTGAAAGCATTGGTGGTATTCTGAAGCAGGCATGTCCCTCATCGCTACATGGACGGCTTTAGCAAGGTCTTATAGATTTTATTTTTGGAAAGAACCAGAAATTGCAAGCAGCCAGGTCTGGTGAGTATGGTGGATGTTCTATCAAATGGATACCATTCTGATCAAGATAAGTCTGTGTAAGGCGTACTTTGTGTGGAGATGCATTGTCATGATGCCATTAAATTCGAGAACGTGTGCGCGTCCATGCTGTTGCTTGGATATGCTGCAGAACTTTGGGAAAAACTGACGTATAATATGCAGCATGAGTGATTGTGGTTTTGTCAGGCATTATATCGACAACAACAGGCCCTGACAATTGAAGAAAATGGTGAACATTCTCTTTCTTGAGCGTCCGGAAACCTATTTTCAGGACGTCTGCATGGGCGTGGCTCATTTTCAACACTCTTTCTTACAATCGGCAAAATGCTGAATCTATCTGACAATTGTGCGTAAAGAAGGTGCATACATGGTCACAATAAGCCTTCACAAGCTCTTCATGGATTATAGGTCTTGCTCGAATACCAAGTTTATATCGCGAGTGTAAATGTAGAATCGCATGTGCTCCTTTGTAGGCTCCATATCACGACCAAGTAAGCATATGAATAAAACGATCTGCCAAATTCTATAGAGCTATTATATAAGCACCACATTTGCGTAACAACATGTGATAAAAATGGCGGCTACACATTAACATAACAAAAAAGAGAAGGATAATTGCTTTGGGAATGCATGGCAGCCTCTGGTGACAGAACTTTTTGATCCGCGCCTCGTACAGGGTTTCCAATAGAGTTTATATTGCTCCTTTACTACTTCCAAATAGAAGCAGATTTTCTCGAATATTTTTTAAAAGCAGGTAGCGTGAGGCGGTTTCTACAAAAAACCGAAAACCTACCAAAAAAAATCGAGTGAACCGGTTTTTTTAAAAAATATGTTCGAAAATCGAAACTACGGTAAAAGAGACACAACACGCTACTCAGTACTCACACAAGATATTAAACGTAAGGTATTTTGAAGACGTTATCAAATTTCAAACTTTAGTTTTTCGTGTGTAAATGCCAAAACCTGATTCATTTGCAACAAACTCGTATAAGTATGGTTCGATTTTAGTAAAATACCGATTTTTCTTCGTTTTTTTTTCGTTTCCCCCCGTTTTTTTCTGTTTTTCTCCAAAAGTAACATCGAGTATTTATGTTTTCAAAAAACATCGGGGTTTTTCGGTTTACCTCAAAAACCGCCTCACCCTAAAAGCAAGTCTTGCAAGCATTCTACCTTGTAATCACATTAAAGCAGTTATGCATGTGTTTTTCATTATAACCCTAGACCAAAACGTGGAATATTTTTTCGACTTTTGAATGGGCACGTCAGTGAACTAATTATGCTGGAAAAAATACTATAAGCTACTTGCGGCATAGCTTGGATATTGATTATTATAATATCTACTATATCCAACTATCTAGATTCTCTGGGTGGCATTCTATAGATATACAGTAAGCGTGCTGGATCGTCAAATTTTAGACCATGAATGGGATTTTTAGGGAGAACCTAAGGAATCTTAGCGAACTGGAAGGTAATTTTATGTTTTAATTTACTAATAATTCACTTTAAATTTACCGTTTTTAGGGAAACAAGCCCTGATTCTAAAGGTAAAATGATTATTAATAATAATAGTATCAAAATCAATTTTGTTCTCGCGTATTATAATGAATGCATTGTGGAGCTTATCCGACTTTGGCCGTTGGAATGCGAGGCAAACAGATACACTACATATACGTAGCTTGCACCCAGTCATTCTGAGTCGACTATATGGTTGGTTGAATCTGTGCCAAATTTTATGAGGTTACTTGTATTTCATAGGTTTCTCAAAATTATTCTGTTGGGGTTTGACAGGGCCACAGGTTCGATTCCTGTCGGGTTGCAACTGTATAAATGTAGTTGTAGTTTTCGCAGCTGCTTCTGGTTATGTCTAAAAATGTAAAAATGTGAATTTGCGTTCGAATAATCCATCTACAGTATACAAAACCCCCATCTACAGTATTATATTATTTTTATCAAACGAGATGTCTCAAAATCTCGATTGTGCAAACCTCCAATTCAAATACTGCATAATATATGTATTAATTTAATTTATGAGGATTGAAAAAAGAAACCAACAACTTTTAGCTTTCCTGTGATGCGAACTAATGTTGTTAATAATTATACAATGACCTTGCAGTCAATGTGGGACTCTTACTGACGATCACTCTGAACAACGAACAGCTCCATCATACAATGCATGCATGGGTCTTCTTATATACATTCCTTATAATGCAAGCCTCGGAGCAATGGATATTTCCGAAAAAGGGGCATCAATATGATTACAAACTGACCACAGTATTCTTTGTTTGCACGTCGCGTCACTGTATGCGTGTCATTAAGCACCATCTTATCTTGGTTGTTTTTTAAAGTTTACTTCAGCCATTGCAGTGAGTTTGTTGAGTTCATGTATTTTCCGGTTCCTTTTAAACAGCTTACCGTACTATCGATATAGTGTTGCATGTTATTTCACTAAATAGATTTAATTAACCAATGCATGCAATCAAAACAGCTCGTATAATATCAGTGTATAAAGAGCAAATTACAAACTCTGAACATGAAAACTTTATGGCAGTGCCGCGCTAGAGATTTATACTAGTAAAAATCTAAAAATAGACTTTGAAATGTGGCAAATATGCTTGGTATATTACACATTTGTCGTCTGAGTGGGTCTGACTACTTATTAACTAAACTGTTGTCAACTGTCACCAAATCTCCATCCCTTCGGAACAACGGAAGGCAAACTTTGTCCAAGGTTTCCGCTTGGAGTACTCTACAGTATAATAATTAAATTTATTTAATTTATTCCCAGAGTGTCATGCTTACAACTGTTTATTAAAAAACGAGCTTCTTGGTACTGAAATCGATGATTTGAAGGTATAGCATAATTTGTATACATTGATGAATATATAATATCATTTCAATATTACCTTCTTCATAATGGCGTGAAACACGACAAAAGCAATGTTTCACGGGACAATTTTAGATAATTCGCAATGCAATTGATCTTACATGAAATTTGTTTGGCTCGGCATATTGTTGCTATATAATATGTTCCATGTCAAATCGCCTTCCTTTCGCCTTCAATATGTTCCATGTCAAACCGCCTTTGCGTCATTATGAGAAAGGTCTATTAGGTACGAAGGTGTGTCGAACATACAGTACAAAGAAATAATAGATATATAATGCGTACTGTACTTGTCTACTTGATCATTTATAAATCCGTCATTTTGTGGAGACAAAATTTTTGCTGAGAAAAGGTAGGATTACGCATTCTATATCTGTTATTTTTTATGCGTACATGCTTGTATTGCTAGTTGCTGTAGAAGTATGTAGATGAACTTGTGTTATATGCCTTACTCCATGCATTATCAAAGTAATTTTCAAAATTGTTCTTTTCATGTTGTTTTTGTCAGGATGCCCAAGGAGCTTGTATAAACAATGAAAACCGTGCCACTCCAAAATCTAACTGTGCCAGAAATCTGTTCCAGGTAAGAAAGAAAATGGTCATGTCATCGTCACGTGTTCCTGTAATGCGTTGTCTCGTGGTATGTTTGGGGCATTGAGAGGAAAGCAGAAATTTAAGAATGGGGGTAGGAGCCGCATGGTGGTTTGGTTGCCAACACATTTCCGCAATGCTGTTGCTGCAAATGTCAGTCTTCGAAACTCTTTTGGGTTCCATTTAATACAAATAGGTTCAAATACTGTTCTCTATAACAGTCTAGCAAGTTCTTTATGGAACGAATAAATTACTGTAGGCAAATGTAGAAAGATTCCCAATATAGTCTCCTGTCCTAAACTAAATTGCGCGGTTGCATCTGTCAAGTGAATGAAGTTTCTTGCTCAGTTCCCTGGACGTTTGGAATATTTCTTACCACATGCACGTGTTCTCTTGCAGTTCCAGGCGAAAAGGATGAAGCGATCTGAATTTGATGGAAAATCCTATTCGCTTTCGCCCGTTAGCAAAAACAGGTAATGCGGAATCTTTATACTGTATATAATTTATTTTCACGCCGTTACTTTAATATCATTTCAGAAATAAGAATTGAAGACATGCACAACACATGGTTCGCTTTAACACACATAAACTTATAGAGTCATTAATATACATGCGTGCATGCATGGTTGACATTTAACATTTGCCACGTACATGCGTATAATTCTCCCAGCTTGTCAACAATTAGATGCGTTCCCACTGCTTGTTTCTAGTTGTCGAAAAGTGATTAACAAGTTGTGATCATCTTGTAATAAGATTGATGAGGCCAACAGACTCGCATCAAGTTCTTTCAACTTTCAGACTCGCATCAACTTGCCATCAAGTTCTTTCGATATCGTAAGCACATATAAGAAGTTGTTAACAAATTGATGACAACATGCATGCAAGCTCGTAGCAACTTGTTACGAACAGCTATAGCGTGTATGTACAACTTGTTACGAACAGCAAGTCTGTACCGTTATCATGCAACCTTGTAACAAGGTGACAACAACTATAGTGTTCCAGACGTGCATGTCACAACAACTGGTGAACTGGGAACAATCAGTGCGAACACATCTTAATCTTAACTACAACTTTGTTATCTGTGACAACTTGCGCGTTTTGACGTGTCCGTGTATACTGTAGTTCTGGATGCATGCTGTGTTAGTGCGCTACATGCACATGCTAAATTAAATTGAATATTTTACTTTATTTAGTCACAATCTACTACGATCACCTAGGAAGGTAACCTTTATTAACGTATATTATTTTAAAATGGTTTAAATTAGGTACCGTTTATTATTTATATACATGCATGTTACCGAAGAAAGCTGAAAATTATCTATATGCATGCATGCATGCATGGAGCGACTCTCTCTATAGCTGAGTCGCTCTACAACGCCGTTGTGCAAGATGAGAAATTGCTTAACGGTGGTGGAGTCAAGTGCCTCGTGATATTCAGAACTTAGTCTATAGTTTCAGGCAAACAAATAGTCACAGATGTCGATTCCCACCGTGGTCAAGCACCTTAGTGTTCAGTATGCATGTGAAGCAACTCATAGTACATCACGGTATACCTAAAGCAAGGTATATGTCAACTTTTAAATCTTAACGTTCAGTGATTATACAAATATACATGCAGTACTCGCAACGTTCCGGGCAGTTTTGCTGCTCGTCTTCCGGCTTTTTACTTTTAATAATGTTTACTAATAATAAATCACCAACAAATTTCTCTTCGGTACCACAGCCTCATGCACAATTAATGAGCGATCGTTGTTAAAAGATGAATGACAAACATCGATAGTTATAGCTAATACTGCGTGGATACATATAGTATGGTAACTCATTTTTCATTCTTAATTATAACTATACTTTTATCTTTAAGGCTACACGGAAAATATCCAAGGTTCCTTTTAAAGTTTTAGACGCTCCTGAACTACAGGTAAAGCATCTCAAAGCGACCTTGCGTATGATGCTTGTGATGTTACTCTGAGTTTATCCACACCGGGCAAGCTTGAAAAATATGCCTGTCCACGGTGGGAATCGAACCTTCGACCCTTGGACGTAACATCACAAGCATCATATTCACCTGCATGAGTACATTACACCAACACAGAAAAAAAGATCATGATTACTAGATTACATTGATATCGAAGGGACAAGATTCTGTTCCGAATTATCACATCTCGAACCGACCTGACCGCGTAGCTCAGTTGGCAGAGCGTTGGGCTGGTATTCCAAGGGTCGTAGGTCGTAGGTTCCCACCGTGGACAGGCATATTTTTCAAGCTTGCCCGGTGTGGATATACACTCAGAGTATAACATCACAAGCATCATATTCACCTCACTCAGTGAGTACATTACACCAACATGCACAGAAAAAAACTTGCGTACATGATAAATCTGCCGGGATATGGACCGTATATATAACGGTATATAATTATTACCTCCGCCAGGAGGTTATGTAATCATCTGGGTTTGTATGTGTGTATGTGTGTGTGTGTGTATGTGTGTGTGTATGTATGTGTGTGTGTGTGTGTGTGTTTGTCTGTGAGCACGATAACTCAAGAAATACCAAACATATCCGTACGAAATTTTTTGAATGCATTTCCCATCGGCTAAGGAAGAACTGATTAAAATTTGGTTGAATTTGGTTAAAAATTGAACGAGAAATGAACAAAATTTTGTCTTGCTTTTCCCGGTCAATTAACAAAATATATTACTGAATGCGTAATTAGGACGTGTATAATTTATGCACTCAGTGCTAAGACAGTAATGAGATGATAAACCTCATTAAGCTTCGGCCTTCATTATCTATTGTCTTAGTTGCATTTCACGCGACCGAAATTCAATGTCTAAAACAAGGCTTACGGAGTTACGCATTATTACGCTCAGCAAAGTGCCAGTCCATTCAAATTCTAACAACATTAGATTACTTCAATACAGGGTGTCTTAAAAAAACCCAAAATCATTGAAATTGACGTATTGTTCGATATTCAATGCCCTAGCACTAAGTTAATCCCACGAGTGCATAAAAGATTGACATAACTGCTATAATGAATGGTAATACTCAGCGTAAACTTGTTATGTCAGGCATAAAGTACTAAACCCACGAATGCATATTACGCATATTACAATTTACGAAGCATTTTTAAATTCCCATGAGCAAACAAACGTTACTTTACAAAGATATTTTAATTTTTTAAAACAAATTGATCACCCTGTCAAAATCCTTTGTGTTACGGCATTGAAATTCGAACAATACGTTATTTCAATGATTTTGTTTTTTTTTGAGACACCCTGTACAGGGGGTATAAAAAAAACGCAACCTCGGAATTTCCCAAGAAATCGACATTGTTTTAAAGACAAAAGATTTTAGATGCCTGGGAATTTAAAATAGCACAACTGTGAAAATTACTGCACGCGCGAGTGCATAAAGCAAAATTTATGCATTTATTTAATGACACTTAATAAGTTTTTATTTTACAAGTACTGTACAGTACAACAACAGTAATATGTTCTATTAGCAATTCGATTTTAATTCGCGGGGGCCTGAAATCTTTTATGCTTAAGAATTATAAAGTGGATTTCTTAGGAAATTCCAAGGTTGCGTTTCACTTCCGAGTAACGGGCGGAGGTATGCAGTCTCTGAGTGCCCTCTAGTTATTAAATGTTTTCATCCACGTTTACATGGCTGCATGTGTGTTTGTCAGGGGACGGTTGTTCAAAAGCCGATTAGCTTAACCCTAGGTTAACTTAAAATTCAAAGCACACTTCCTAACAGCTGGTTTATAAATTTGGAAATATTTCTTTACAAATCATGTCTGGATCAATAGAAGTTTTCTTTTCTGATATTTTGAAATAAAGGACATGCAGAAATATGCAAACTAAAACAGTGGGTTAAATTTTAAACATGGATTAGCGCTAATCCACATTTGAACAACCGGCCCCAGCACGATAACTTAAAAATATTAAATGTATTAATACAAAATTTTGTGGGACTAATGATCATTGCCCAAGGCCAAATTGTTTAAATTTTGGTTACATTTGGATGAAAATTGGATGAGAAATTAGCAAAGTTTGTCTTGTTTTGCCAGGCAGAATAAACAGAATAATCTATAATTTATGCATGATACGTAACATAATTCGCTGACGGAGGTTAGCAGTCTTCGACTGTCCTCTATATAGTAGGTGATGCAATCATAGAATGTTTGAATGAATTTTTATATAGAACGGGAGTTTGCAGCAGCACTTTTAAGATATTCACATAATTCTGCAGATCGGCATGGAATAGATATTATATTGTCTATAGACCCTTTTATGATGACGTCGCATGACTATACCGGAATTAAAGCACTTATTGAGTAATATAAACCTAGAAAAACAGATGCAATATGGTGTGGAAATGTAAAATGTGGAAATTGTGAATTTCAACATCGCATTCAGGCTTTCTTGCCATCCTACTTTTTCCTATACTTTTCTTCAACTTTACTACTTTTTTTATTAAAAATTGCTTGATTTTCCTACTTTTCTCATAAAATCCTACTTTTTTAAGACAGCTTGCATGGGGAATCAGTATGTTAATGTCTTAACTCTAATTATTTACCTAGGACTTGTAATTTTTATTCCCTATTTGTGTCCCAGATGATAGGATCTTAATTAATTAAGAAGAGAAGAAGTACATTTTCCGAGTATAAAATTCCATAGCATCTCTAGAATCATATAATCAATAAATTAATGCCATTTTCGACGATCTAGAGATTCCAAATATTCAAAAAAAACCCCTCAGTTAATCAAGCATCATATGCTTCTGCCGCACAGTGTGGATTGGTGTATGGCGCAGCCAAATACAAGCACTTGCACGCATAACGCATTTGAATTGTGTTGATGCAGAGCAGACCTGCAGATGCCTTAGCTTTTATACCGATGCAACATTCACTGTCTATATTACGTATATTAATATCTAATTTTAAACGTTTTGAGAAAAAAATCCTGCATAGATGAACGACTACAAAAAAATATTGAGCACCAAAAATTCACACTTCCCCACCATGCAGACTTCTAATTGTCCACCCCTTACCACATATATCCTAGGGGGCCAATTTTGTGTATTTTTGTGTTATTTTCATCTCCAAAAACTCCTGCTTTTGTCCTACTTTTCTACACATTTTCCCAGCCTAGACCTAGGCCTAAACTCGGCTGGTAATTATCGCAATGGTCATTTGCCTCGTAAAGGCCTAGTAGATTTCACAAGTTCTCAAACTAGCCCCATAACTTTGTGATCCGAAATTGATCAGAAACCAACAACTAAAGCAATTTATACTGTCCAGTAGTTATTACATTAACTACCGGGTGGCCCAAAAAAAAGTACTCCTGTTTGATTCGTAATAACATCTAAACAAGTATAGCTTTTAAAGAGAAATAACTTGCATCAAATAGAGGAAGGACTAACTTAGACTTTGATATATTACAGTTGTATTTCACTTAAAAATTCACGGAGATATTAATCTTTAAATTCGGGAGGATATTTCTGGATGTGTCTGAAATATGCAAAAATCGGCGTATCAAATATTAATCAAGATTTGCCCGACTGAAACATGCACTATTACCAGTAAATAAATGACACTTGACAAATTGTTTATTATGAAACAAAGTATTATTATATCTACAAAATACAAGCAAGATTCATTCGTCCGAAATTCGCGTGTGTTCCTAGCACGAATACGTTTCCTTATTTCATGAGACTACTGCATCGCGAAGGATCGTCATTGGATCGTTCGTAGTTCTGAATTAGGGCATGCTGTCACAACGGAATTGTGAAGCTCTTCTAACTTCTGCAACGTTCTGAAATCTTGTTAAGAACACCCAAACTCTTTTGCCGTTTCTTAATCTTGGCAAGTTCATGGAGTAAACTGAGAATTATATGAAACACAATCAAACCATACAACTCCATAAGACATAACAATTAAGCAACTCCCCAGAGACATGCAACATTTTTGGAACAAAACGTAACAAAATAGTAGCGTTGATACGGTGATGTGTATTTGCAAAAAGCAATATTATTTCCTTCAATAAAGAATATTCATCCTGCTCTAACTGAGAAATAATCTACTCAGTCTGTTTGAACCCATTAAAAACATAAAAAAATTAGGCTATTTAAGAATACGAAAAATTTAAGCGCCTGCCTTCCATGGTCAGTCTTTCATGTACATTTAAGTTTGAAAAGACCTAATATTAAATACTTGCATAATTTCGAACGTTCATATTTCAGGAAACAATGAGCTAAGACTTACATGTAAGATGTCTAAATCTACGCCATATCCCTTACAAACCTTAACGATAATTCGCTGAAATACAAGTTAGCCTAATATGTCATTAAGCAAACAAACGCTGGAGTTAATATTTGATATGCTGATTTTCGCTAATTTTAGACACATTCCAAAATATG